AGCGGAACAGTTGAAAAATTTATCTGACAACAAAAACGCTGCTCTGGGGACTATAAAACCCTGGGAAGATTCAAATCATTTGCTAGTGGTTTTTGCGTCGCAAACTCCGGATTCGATATGTGCCTTATATCGAAGCAAAGATTTAGTGCCCGAAAACGTGGAAGGCTTGTTAAGGAGTCAGCATGTAGGCACTACGAATTTTTCTCTAGAAGATTTCGAAAAAATGCCTCCTGAACAAATTTTAAGAAAATTGGAGTGTCTCGCAAGAACAACTCTCGAGAGACGTGAATATTATCCGTATGCTTTATCGGTCGAAAATTTATTAAAGATGGCATTAATTCTCTTGAGAGCTCGTACTTGCATCCCTGTGGTCGTTTGTGGTGAGGCTGGGTGTGGAAAGGTCGGGATCTTAAAAGAATTGTCATTATTATTGTTTCAATCGTTTAATGTTGCGTTTTATTCACTTACTATTTATATCATTAGACAAGCTTAATTCAATTTTTGGCTTTGATGGTAAGAGTAGAGTTTAGGGCGCTTAATTTGCATTTTAATAAGATCAGATCATAATTAGATTTCAATCTGAATTTAAAATTATGAAAATAATGAATACTACTTACATCATACATGTTTTTCAAAGCTTGATAATTAGAGTTGCAAAGCCTTATCTTTCCGGCAAGCACAGGATTATTCACAGTAACCTCGATGAACTTTGGAAAGAATATATTTAGAGCGTGGCTAGAGGTGTCTTTCGACTTCTTATCTAGCAAAGGCTCCAAAATCGATTTGACTTGAATAAAGGTAGATACAGTATCTGCCTGCATCAATCTTTCATCCGAATGATCGTCGACTCCATTAATCAAATTTTTCAGATCGTGACCGACCAAAGACCTGAGGAACGTTATAAATCCTCGAGAGGTCGAGATTTCTCTGGCAACCTCCCAAGTGTTGTTTGTTACTTTGCTTCGCGTCAAGCAAAAATTGATATTTTTAAACATTTCGGTTATTTTATCGAGGGTTAAATCATCATCTTTCAGGTTTTGAAGATACTTCTTTGCCCAGAACTTCGAGTCGACCGTAAATTCAAAAACTTCTAGCGCCTCGACCAACTGATTCAGTCGAATCCACCACTCCGGAATTTCCACCAGTTGTTCAATTGTTGAAGCTAGATTTTTTTCACGTTTACTGCCTTTTATTTTGTTGCAATAAGAAAGCAAAAATATCAACTCCGTCTTGACATGTTCAGGTTTAATATTATCCCAGAGAAGTTTGACATCCAAGTATTTAAGTTTCTCCCATTCCTCATATTTTTGGCAAGCCTTGGTATAACTCTCGATTGTATTTTTGATAATTTCTTTTGAGACGATGTCAACAGTCAATTCGCGTGTTTCCGATCCCAGAACAAGTTTGTGAGGAATGGAGGAAAATTGTGAACAACCAATTGGATCCCCTTTCTGATGATGTAATCTTTGAGGTAGCATCTTTTGTTGAGGATTTTGAACCTGAAGTTATAAAACTTTATGTCACTTCAGCAATGGTCAGGATAGATCGTGACATGAGGGGCGTTAACGATCAACTCTTAAAGAAAATAATGCGGATTTGTAGTTCAGAGAAGTCACTTTGTATAAAAAATGGGTTTGTATCAATTAATTTTTAGTCGTTATCTTATTTATC